AAAACCAAAAAATTTTTTTTTTTTTAAAATGGTTTTTGGTAATGTCTGGCCAAACGCCAAAACATCTTTGTTGTCATGGTTTCTTGGGAGTTGTGTACAGAAGTGAAGTAAGATCCCCCGACTTTCTGAAAGTCCTCGGAGAAGGAGAATCCTCCAAAATATCAGCTCATGCATTTCTAGGTGATGGCGGTGGTGAGTAGCCTTCACGGCGTCGTTTGGACGACGGAGAATCACAGGGATGGACATCTTGTGGAGAATTAAGTCGGTGCTGATGCGGCGGGGAACCACAATGGTGATCATCGGTGTCATATCCGATGTCAAGATCGCTCCCTCCACTATTGCTGGCTGGAGGCTTGACGACCATGCTGCTGAGGTTGAAGCCAATGCGCACTCGAAGATGGTTCAAACTCACGGGAGCACATCTTTGTAATTCTTTCCATGACTTCTGTAACCTAACGAGGAGGTGAGGAATTAGGGATTTGGAGAAGAAGAAAAAATCGTCGTTTCAAATATCAAGATGAGTGTCCCTCCCTTCCTACACAGAGGATGGCAGGATGGGAGTCCGACAATTCTCAAAGGACCGGTGGCTAGGGTACGAAATCTCTCTCTGATACCATGTTTAAACTCAGAATTATGAAAACACAGAATTATGTAGAATAAAGTGGAATACTCGATTATTTCATTGATACGAACAAGGGTATAAATAACCCTTACAAGAACTCTATAATAAGAAAAATAATAAAAAGGAAATGATATGAAAGGAAAATATATCATATAATATCTCCACTAATTAATTCATATTAATTATTAGGAGATATACGAAATAACATAAAATAGGAAACCAAATAATTCTTAATTTAAGGAAGTAAATATAAAATAGGAAAGGAAATATCTCCTTATATTAAGGAAATAATTTATTCCTCATAACGTCTTATAGGAATAAATTATTTCTTATTATAATTCTTAACACTCCCCCTCAAGTTTGGAATGTATGTTAATAATTCCTAATAAGGAAGTAAATATAAAATAGGAAAGGAAATATCTCCTTATATTAAGGAAATAATTTATTCCTCATAACGTCTTATAGGAATAAATTATTTCTTATTATAATTCTTAACAGGCAGTGAGACAGTAGCAGTGACCTCTACCGAGCGACCACGTCGGTCTTCGCCCGACTATCTTGTTGGACAGACCCAAATATGCAAGAACATTTCACCTCTATATGAAAGGGTGTCAGAGACAAGAGGAGGTGCCAACGAAATAACACCCAGGGGTCATCTTGTCTCCAGCTCTTCTGAAACATATATTTTTAATGTATAAAATGGGTTCGAGAGCCCATAGAACATCCCCACCTACGTTACTCTCCTCTCTTCTCTCTTTCTTTTTCTCTTTATGCCTTTGACATGTACCACATGACAATTTCAGATTAAACATCAAGAGTTCTCATTGATGAATAAATTCTGTTTTTGCTCGTTTAATGAAAAATAGATATAAACTTACATGACTGAGCCAATCTTAATAGGACAGATTATGACAAACGGTGTCAACCAAAAACTTTGAACTCTGCAAGGTATCCAATCTTTATTTCCTTGAAATAATAAATTAAAACCAATTTTATGTCTTGCTCCAATTCGGAACAAGATACTCGCCCTGGTAATCAAATATGAATTAACAAAAAATAATGGGAGGAAAAATTTATAAAAGAAAAATTACAAATGGTTGTTCACAAATGCAACGAACACTGCTAATTATGACCTTAAAAACTCCATTAACCCCTGATCAAAAGAAAAGATGTCTTCATGCCAAAAATATTGCTCATTATTTGAACATTGTAATCTCTTGCTGGGTGGCTGCAGCGTCAGCTCATCAACGACTGAGCTAAAGCATGACCTCTTCATCGTGCCGTGGGCTTTGGCCTCCAACTGCAGTGACTCCTGCTGCACGTCGAAATACTCACCAAGCTCAGCACATCTACTACCAGACCACGATTCAGAATCTCCCAATTTGCTGATTTCTCCATTTTCCGTTGAGCCAAGAAGGTAACCAAGAAGTTGCGTGTCGCTCCACTCAAAGAAGCTGCTCTTTTCAATTCGTAAATGTTGCTGATTGTCTTGTTGATTACTGAAATTGGCAGACTGTTGCGATTTTAAGGATACCTGCACTTCTCCGTTCTCAGCTTGCACGGCCCCATTGTGTTTAACTCGGCACAGAACCCAGTCATCCAGCTGAAAGAAAGAAGCATCAATTTTAGATTTTGGTAAGTAGTAGTTCCAAGAATTAGGATTTCAGATTGCGGAGCACAGTAGAATTCTTTTGTATTTCTATTTATTCTTGTTTTTTTTGAAATTTTGATTGAATATAGAAGGCATGAATTCATACTCTCATTGAGTCTTTTGTCCTCTTAGCATGACAGGGGAAGGAGGAGTCAAGAAGTCGGTACTCGTGCATGACCCACTCAGTCTTGGTGCCCTTCGGCGGGCGTCCCTGGTAGAAAATCAAAGCTTTCTTGACGCCGATGCACTGGATGCCATCAGGTGCCAAGATGGGTTTGTCAGTGCCAGTTGCTTTCCAGTAACCTGACCCAGCAGCCCGATTGGGCCTGTTGCCATTCGGGTACTTGCGATCTCTTGGGCTGAAGAAAAACCACTCTTTCTCTCCAAAAAATGCTTTCTCTGAAACAACGCAACACATGTTATGATAATGCTAACCGCGAAGGAGACGAGTGCTGAGGAGAAATATTTCTCACCTGGAAGCTCCCATGGATTGAACTTGTAAAGATCAGCTTCGGCCATGATAGCCCAGGTCGGTGGCAAGGAAGAAGAGACCTTCTTCTTCAAGTAATGGGTGATGAGCTCCTGGTCTGTGGGATGGAAACGGAACCCTGGAGGGAAGTGAGAATCTGTTGGCCAGCTCGCTTCCTTTACTGCCATGGTTGTGGTCGGAGAAATTTAGAGAATTGTTAGAACAGATTATGTTGGCAGATTTAGAAGGCTGGTTTTTTTTTTTCCATTTAAAGAAAACTTTAGTACAATAAATCTGACATAAATATTCTGTTGAAAATATTTTATAATCATAGCCTTAGGTGGACGTTGTCTTATTTTCTGGACATGTTGGGGGGAAAGAAGCATGCTCCTTCACAGCTATCCTTTTAAAAGAGTATTTGGAGTTCAGGAACTGATACATTGCCGGCCTGAAACAAGTGGACAATTGCATGGCCTTTCGAGGAAGGCAACCCAATTTTTTGTTGAATCCGTAGATAGAACAAGTAAAAATTGCTTTGCCCCAACTTTTTTCCCAAAACGAAACGGGCGAAGTAACGTATTGTTTTTTCGAACATCTCAATGCTGCTGCCTTCTCTTGACTGGCTGGTTGTTTTTTCTTTTTTCTTTTTTAATTTTGTTTAGGTTTCGCTTTTTCATTCTTTAAGTAATTTGTATTGCAGTTCAGAACGAACTCTTTGCATCCTCGGTAGTCAAAGATTAGTTTCGGCAACCCTTCTGCTTGTTGGAACTGTGATATATGAATATTCAATCTTGGATAATGCATTATTTATTTTTATTTTATTATCATTATTAATTTCTTTTGCTGGATAATGCGTTATTTTATTACATATGTTGATTTATAAACTTAATTTTAGTTATTTAAATAATATTCAATAAGAGTCTAATTTCTAGAAGCATGTCTCATCTAGAAGCTTATTCTAGAATGTGTGGTAGATATGAAACTATTTGTAATCTATTTGTAACCATTAGATTAAAATTGTAATGACACAATCCTAGTCATTAATTTAGGAGGTATCACTAGTATAAATAGGGGTGAAGTCTTTGAGCCTTTATCAAACCAAGAGAAGGTGATAAATAGAAGTGAAGCTTCTTCCAGAAATTTTTAACCTTTGTTAAATCCTAAAAGCTTTTCTATTCCAACAAAGTGGTATCAGAGACTAAGGGTTCCTTTGTAGAGCAATGACAAACAGTGGCATGGTTTCCTTCCAAGTTCTGATGCTTAAGGAAAGCATCTACGACAATTGGAGTATCAAGATGAAGGCACTTCTTGGGGCGCATGAGGTTTGGAAGGTTGTGGAGAAAGACAAAGATGAGCCAAGCGACGAGTCTGCTCTATCCACAACACAAAATGATAGCTTAAGAGATTTACGAAAGACAGACAAGAAGACTCTCTTCCTTATCTATCAAGCTTTAGACGAAGATGATTTTGAGAAGATCTCATGTGCTACTTCAGCTGAGCTAGAATAGAAGAAGCTCGAGGTCTCGTATAAGGGAGAAGAGAAGGTCAAAAAGGTACGACTTCAGATTTTAAGAAGCTAATTTGCTGCTTTGCATATGAAAGAAGGTGAGTCGGTCTCCAATTAATTTTCTATGGTCATTATCATTTCCAATCAACTAAAAAGAAATGGTGAGAAGTTAGAAGATGTGGATATCATGGAAAAGATTTTTCGATCGTTAGATTCAAAATTTGATAGTATCACAATCTATACCGAAGAGACCAAAGATTTACAAGCCACGACGATAGAGCAACTTTTGGGTTCATTGCAAGCCCATGAAGAAAAGGCGAAGAAGAATCAAGAGATTGTCGAACAAGTTCTTAAGATGAATCTCCAACCAACTCAGAAAAATGAAAGCTTCAACAACATTAGAAACCGACATGGATAAGGTAGTGGACAAGGACGAGGTCATACTAGCAAGCAAGGATGGGTACCAACAATAACTATGAGAAAAGAGAAAGATCTACAAGAGGACATGGATGATGGATGAGGGCGCTCGAACTCGAGTTATGATAAATCTCAAATTAAGTGTTATAATTGTAACAAGTTCGAGCATTATGCGAAAGATTGTAGAGCACCTAAGAACAAAGTTAAAGAAAGAGCCAACTAGATAGAAGAAAAGAGAGAAAAAGTTAACACTCTACTGCTAGCATACAAGGACAATTAAGGAGGTGAAGATAATACATAATAGTTGGACACCAGTGCAAGCAACCATACGTGTGGGAGATGAAGCATGTTCATAGAGCTTGACAAATCAGTAAGCGGCAATGTGTCGTTTGAAAAAGAGTCAAAGATAGAGGTGAAAGGCAAATTTAACATTCTCATCCCCAGAAAAATGGGAAGCATCAATTTATTTCTAATGTTTACTTACTGCCGAATTTGAAGAGCAACATCTTGAGTACAGAACAACTCTTGGAGAAAGGACATAATATTCATTTAAGAGAAAATACTCTCTTCTTAAAAGACAATATTGGTAACTTGATTGCTAAGGTGTCAATGTCTAAAAAGAAAATGTTCTTGCTCAACATTTAAAACGATATTACCAAATGACTTAAGGCCTGTTATAAGGATGCTTCTTGGCTCTGGTATCTTCGATTTGGGCATTTCAACTTTGGAGGACTTGAATTGCTTTCAAAGAAAGAGATGGTGAGATGATTACCTTGTATCAACTACCCTGATCAATTATGTGAATGATGTTTACTCGGAAAGCACTTCAAGAAAATCTTTCCAAGAGAGTCAAGTTCAAGAGCCCAAAAGCCTCTTGAGCTCATACATATAGATGTATACGGTCCAATAAAGCCAAGCTCATTCAGTAAGAGCAACTACTTTCTTCTCTTCAAAGATGATTTTTCACAAAAAAACATGGGTGTATTTCTTAAAAAAAATCAGATGTTTTTGGAATATTCAAAAAGTTTAAGGCAGATGTAGAGAAAGAGAGTGGTCTCAAGATCAAAGCTATGCAATATGATTGAGGAGGAGAATTCACTTCAAAATAATTTTAAGAATTCTGTGAAACCGATGAAATACATCAACCTCTAACTGTTCTAAGAACTCCCCAACAAAATGGAGTAGTGGAAAGAAAGAATAGAACCATCCTTAACTTGGTAAGGAACATGTTAAATAGCAACAGATTGCCGAAGGAGTTTTGGGTATAAGCAGTTGCATGTGCTGTTTATTTGGCTAACCAATCACCAATAAGAAGTGTGTTCGAAATGACACCACAAGAAGCATAGAGTGGAAGGAAGACCGACAGATCTCATCTACGAGTTTTTGGATGCATAACTCATGTACACATACTCGACGAGAAAAAAAGTAAGCTGGATGACAAGAGCGAGAAGTTTATTTTCATTAGTTACGACACTAACTCGAAAGACTACAAGCTATATAATCTAAATACAGAGAAGACAGTCATCAGTAGAGATGTCATATTCGATAAGAAGGAGAACGAGATTGGGGACTACATGATGAAGATTACAAATTTTTCCCATATTTTTAAGAAGAAGATGCAGAGAAACTAAGGATCGAGCAAGCAAGAAATGAGCTTACTACTTCACAAACAACATTGACTACAAGTACTCAAAATGACTCATTGTCATCAACTTTAAGAGAAAATTCAAGTGAAAGAGTAAGAGTACCACGGTGAAAGAGTACCACGCTTCAGAAGATTATAAGATCATTATGAGGTAACTAAGAATCAAGATAATCTTACTCCTTTTTGTCTCTTTGTCGATTGTGAGCCCATAGATTTCTAAGAAGCCATATGAAGCAAGAAGTGGAAAGATGCAATTGATGATGAAATTAAGGCAATCGAGAAGAACGACACATGGGAGCTAGCTTCACTTCTTAAATGGCATAAGGTAGTTCATGTGAAGTGGGTGTACAAAGCAAAAAAATAATTCCAAAGAAGAAATTGAAAGATACCAGAGAAGATTGGTAGCAAAAGGCTACACTCAAAGAGCAGGCATTGGCTATGATGAGGTATTTGCCCGTATCGCTCGATTAGACTAATCATCTCTTCGGCAGCTCAAAATAAGTTGAGAATGCATCAAATAGATGTAAAATATGCCTTCATGAATGAAATACTTGAAGAAAAAGTCTACATTCAACAACCATTAGGATATGAAGTCAAAGAACAAGAAGACAAGGTTTTAAAGCTAAAAAAGGCTCTCTACCGGCTGAAGCAAGCAACAAGAGCATGGAATAGTCGAATGGACAAGTATCAGCTAGAGAAAGGCTTCATTAAGTGTCCTTATGAGCATGGGCATGCTCTTTATATCAAGAATGAGAATGAAAATTTCTTAATTTTTTGTTTATATGTCGATGTCTTGATTTACCCCAGAAACAATTCAAGCATGTCTGAAAAGTTCAAAGAAGCGATGACAAAAGAGTTCGAAATGACAGATATTGGGCTCATGGCATACTAGCTTGACATTAAAGTCAAGCAAATGGAAGATGGGATTTTCATCTCTAAAGAAGGTTATGCAAGGGAGATATTGAAGAAGTTCAAAATGGATATTGGCTGACCTATAAAAATTCCCATAGACTGTCGAGTCAAGCTATCAAAGTATGATGAGGGAAAAAGAATTGGTCTAATGTTTTTCAAGAGTTTGGCTGAAATTTTGCGCTACATGACATGCACAATGCCTGATATTCTTTATGTTATTAGATTTGTCAGTCACTACATGGAGACTCCGACTGCTACCCACCTGAAGACAGCTAAAAGAATTATGTGTTATATCAAAGTTACAATTGATTTTGTCTTACTTTACTCATCGTCTAACAATTCCAAGCTTGTAGGATATATTGAGTTATTGGGTTGGAGGCATGGATGATAGAAAAAGAACTACAAGGTACATGTTCTTCATAGAAGGCACTGCTTTCACTTGGATGTCAAAGAAACAACCAATTGCACTCTTTCTACCTGTGAAGCAGAGTACGTGGTTGCAATCTCACGTTTTTACCATGCAAATTGGCTTCAAAACTTATTAAAGGAGATAAGTTTACCGTTTACCATGCAAATTGGCTTCAAAAGTTATTAAAGGAGATAAGTTTACCACAAGAAGAGAAGATCAATATTTGTATTGATAATAAGTCTGCAATAGCACTAGCAAAGAATCAATTTTTTCACGATAGAAGCAAGCACATTGATACTCAATATCACCACATCAGAGAATGCATTGAAAGAAAGGAGATACAAGTGCAATACGTGAAGTCTCAAGATCAAGTTGCAGATATTTTTACCAATC